CGGGGGTCGTCCCAACAAATGCGGGGTGCTGGGCCGGCCCCGGACCCGGGCCGAAAGCCCCACCGGCTTGGGCCGCCATTCCGGGGCAGCATAGGCCACGTCCCCCCGCCTCCTATTGGACGCCGGCACACGCGTCTCAAGCAGAGGCGTGGCCGTAGAGGCGGGCCGGGATGGGCGGAGCCAGCTTTTCATTGGACAGATGATCAAGACGGACCTGCGTTCAGGAAGGAGGCGGAGCCCGCGGGGCATCTGCCAATCGGAAGCCGACTGGTGGGAAAAGCCGAGGCAAGAGGGCAGGCTTCATAGAGATAGTAAAGGTGTAGAGGTAGACGACGTATAGAGATAGTAAATGTAGAAAATAGTAATGGGAACAAACGCAAATCTTTCTCCATTTGATGTAGTATTTTTTGTATGCACGCGTGAGTCGAATAATTTATTTTGTTTGAAAGAATAACCATTAAAAAGGGTAAAACCGAAAAATATATTTTAAAAAAACAGATAGGAAAACAAAAGATACAGATAGTTACCCCTATTGAACTTCAAGGGGAACACAAGCAGTTCAAATACTTTTATTAAATGCAGTACGTTTGGGGGGAGCTTCCGAGTTCCCTGTGGAAACCCCATCCATTGCAAGAATCGGACGCTAATCTACACCACAATGCATCGCTTAACCTTGAAGACCCCTCAAACACTCGGGGTTGGACTAGATGACCTCGGCATCTCCTTTCCTGTCCCTTGGTGATGGGACTCTCGATCCTTCCGGCTGCGGCTTAGCTACAATTCCCATCCCTTCACGGCCCACGGAATGCTCCACCGCAGTGTTTCTCCACCTCCGCCCCTTTAAGATGCGTGGCTTCAACCCCCAGAATCCCCCAGGTCGCCATACACATCTTCAAGAGAAGGAAGTGGAGAAACACTAGCCTATAGGTTCATCCTGCAGAGAAACGCACCTCCCAGCTCAAAAAAAAAAAAAAGATTAAAAAAAAAGACAGCTACCCAAGCCCATTAAACCCGTGTTTCTCCCCCTCCGCCCCTTTCAGACGGGTGACTTCAACTCCCAGAATCCCCCAGGCCGCCATGCACATCTTCAAGGGGCGGAGGTGGAGAAGCACTAGCCTATAGGATCGTCCTGCAGAGAAATGCACCTCCCAGCTCAGAAAAAAGAAAGACTTTAAAAAAAACACAGCAACCCAAGTCCATTAAACCGGTGTTTCTCCGCCTCCGCCCCTTCCAGATGGGAGGACTTCAACTCCCAGAATTCCCCAGCCATCTGGAAGGAGCGGGGGCGGAGCGGAGCGGCGCGGCTGTCGCGGCCGGGGAGGGAGAGATTCGATCGCCACGTGTTGCTAGAGGTGGGCGGGGCGAGGTGGGCGGAGCT